GATTGACTGTGGTTCCGTGAAACCAATTAGATCTGAGAAGGAGAATCTTCAACTTTGGAAGCGTTCCCAACCAAAAGGGAAAAATATCGTTGATTTGATTGTTTCCCAAATTGAGAAGCTCTAACATTGTGCAATTGGTCAAAGATCTCGGTACCAGCCCATCTAATTTATTTTCACTTAAATCAAACACTTTCAAACTGCATCCTTTGTTGTACAACTGAGGAATATTGCCATGAAAATTGTTGCTATGCAAATTCAACACCGTTAGGAAATCATTGATTAAGCATTGGGGAATGCTTCCGCTCAAGCTATTATTTGACAGGTCAAGGAATTGAAGCAAGGTTGCATTGCAGACTGACAATGGAATATCTCCGGTTAGGAAATTATTTGACACTGCATAAGAAGTGATGGAGAATGGTGGAATTGGGAGTGATCCTTGTAGCCGGTTAGACTCGAGGTCTAAAGCTTGTAGACTCTCCCACGGAAGGACAGCTGGAAGTTGTTCAAATCCCGTTAGTGAGTTGAAAGCTAAGTCTATAATTACCAAAGTTTTTTGGCCCATAATCCATATCCATTTGGGGATAAGACCATGAATTTTGTTATGAGAGAGTAACAACGCCTGCAATTCATCTTGATATTGTAAGAACTCTGGGAATTCAGTTAAATTACATGCGTCTAATCCTAAAACTGTGAACTTCGGAAGAGTGAAGTTGGGATCGTCACTAGTGAGCACTGATAATTGGTTGTTTGACAAATCCAAATAGCTAAGATCTTTAAGCTTAAGAAACATGTTGGCTTCCACTACCCCACTCAAGTAATTGTCGGATAGATAAAGAATTCTAAGATTACTGAGTGTGAAAATTGATTGTGGAATTGGACCATGGAACTTATTGTGACCAAAGTCTAGATAAGTTAGTCGGGTGAGGTTCCCCAGCCACAATGGAAGTGAGCCTGTGATATCACAGTTATTGAGTAGCAGCGAAATCAAGGACTTAAGATTTGTAATGGAATCTGGTAATTTACCAGAGAAGCTTGTGCCACTAAGTACCAAAATTTTAAGGGGACTACTTTGGTTGAATTCAGGTAAAGAAACAATGAGATCTTGATTATTACGTACACTAAGAGCTTGTAACTTTGGTAGGTGGAATATACCTACTGGGAATTCACCATAGAGCCCACAATCTTCGAGAAATAGAGATGTGAGAGATGATAAATTACCCAAGATATCAGGTGCTTTAGAAGATATAAGCACTCGAGACAGAGAAAGCTCTTTCAGGGCAGTTAGATTTTCAACAAGCCTCCCAAGACTAGGGTTTTCAAGCTTCAACAGGCTTTCACGAGACAAGGGATCAATATTGGTGGCAAGATCAAGGGAATCCAAATTTGACAACTCAAAAATTTCTGATGGAATTTGACCAAAAAATACAGAGCCAGATAAGTTGAGACTTGTCAAACCAGAAAGGTGGCCAATTGCAGACGGGATTTGAGAGTAATTGAAGTGATTGTCTGCAAGGTTAAGCCTCTGAAGGCAAGCAAGGCCAAAGAGGCTGCTGTTGGAATTGAAGGAACCATAAAGAAGACTGCTACTGAGGTCTAGGGCAATCACATGACCGGAGTCCTCATCGCACTCAATCCCATCCCACAAACAACAATCATCACTGTTATTATTTTCTTGGAGCCCCCAAGAATCAGCCTTTGGGTAAGCAGAAGGATCGCCAGAAGCATTCTTGACGGTTGAAAAGCTTTGCTTGAACTGTAACAAGGCAACTCTCTCATTTTCATGGCATAGTTGCTGTGTAGAAGAGGAGCAGTGAGTTAATACAATAGGATGAAAACTCAGAAGGATAAGGAGAAAGTGCATGAATGCAAATAGGTAGAAAGATAATCCCATAATGTCTTAACTTTAGAACAATTGGATGAGCAATTCATGAGAGGTTTTGAGCTTATTTATACAGGAGTTGTGTCTGAGAAAATGCATGAGTGCAGTGAAACAGGGCCCACCTGGGATGCTTTTTGTATTTTTTTTTTGGGGATTTTAACGGTCAATATTCGGGCCAACTCATGTGCACTTTGATTAATTCATTCTCTGGTCTAGTTCTGAGATTAAAATATTCTCAAGGGATAAATTTCTCATGTCCTGACTCTAAAATAATTTTAAAATTTAAACTCAAGACATTTGAGTATACAATTTATCCTTATTACTATTTGAACTATCATTGTGATTATACTTTTTGTATCCACATATGCATACATTAACTTCTACGAGCAAAAAAAAAACTTCTACAGGCAACACTTTCCGGAAAAAAAAAAAATTCTAGTCCTTGGAGATTGTCCACTTGCCACTATAAGTCAGTTCATTCCCATAAAGAGAAAACAAGAAGATCAAAAATATGATGTCAATATTTTTCCAGTTTCATCACAAATTTTCCCACAAAATACACAAAAAATTTAGTTTAGATACTCTCCAATGATCTTGATATTTTCTCGAATAGACTTATTTAGGGACTGTTCAATATCCAGATATCAAGTCTCTTACATGCATAGAAAAGTTGGGAGGATGAGTACAATGCGCCACGACAAACTGACACAAGAGTAAGAAGAGCATAAATTGGTCTAATTTTCTTTAATATTCTCCTATGGACAATTCATCGGTACTTTTGAGTTGTCATATACAGAATTTTCTTTAGGGTCACAACGTTTGGTAAAGAGGAAAAGGAAGAGGAAGGGAAGAAAGAATTCCAATTTCTTCTCTCTTTTCTGATTGGTGGCACAGGATAATGGAAAATATAAAGAAATATGACTACAACTTTCCTTTATTTTCTAACGCTTAATAAATAAATAATTATCACATCAATAGGGATAATTAGATTGCTCCATCCCATCAATTAAGTACAATTAGAATGTTTGTAGTAAATTTTAATTTACTTCCTTTTTAAATTAGGAAATTGATTGATTTATTTCTTATATTAATTAAAATTTTATTTGATTTTAACACTTAATTTAATTAGGATTCTAGTTTCCTACTTTGACTAGAGCTATGCTATTAGTGTTTTAAAATCCGACTCGGCCCGACAGGTTGATTTGGTGAATTGGTGCCTAAACCGGGCCAGTTCATCTATTGGATCGTTTATGCATAACAACTAGAGTCAACCCAATGAACTAGTAAAAATTCGGAGAAAACCGTCAAACCATACGAGTTCCATCAAACCTGGTGGATCATTTAATTTACTATAAAAGGTTGATTTTTGGTCTTTTTGGGCATTTTGCCCAAAATTTTGTTGCCCAGCCAGCCCCCTTTGGTGGAAGTCGTTTATTCCCCTCTCTCTGTCTCAATCTCTCTTGCTCTGCTTTGGTTTATACTATAGTGTGTAGTGGGAGCTCGAGAGGGAGTGACTAAAATGACACAAGTAGAAAAATATAAAAGAATCAAAATAAGACAAAACACATACTTATGGGAGTGAATAAGAATGACCTCATAAATATGAACAATTGCACGATATTGATACTTGTGTTAACTCCTATCATTTATTACTAAATTAAATACTTGATAAGTGTTGGATAAATACATTTTGTGTATCATCAGTATCAGTGTTTGAGTGTGAAAAAATGCAAGCTTATAGTGACTGATGACCCACATGGAATACTGTCTGTGTTCTTCTGCATGGTTGGCTTGTGGTAATTCTTTTTTTGACTGATTATGTGTTCCCCCGTCATTTGTCTTATTGTTGAGTCTGTCATTCCTCACAATTTCCTACACCCACTAGTCCTCGAATGGAATATGTTAGTCATCTCCACTACCGACGGGTATTCATTCGTTAGGCTTATTAGGTACTGTCTCATGTCCACGTGTCGCGATACAACTTTTGGTGAATTGCTTGGTGTCATGCTCGCAATTCTCGAACTGGTATCTATACCGACCTCCCCGATATCGAATTACCACCTATTCTGAGCTCGTTTGTTACGGACTTCTATAGGGCTGGGCCATAGTCTAGCTCGAGCCCAATTAACACTGTCTGGACGAGGCGCTTAGGTTATTTTAAATGAACCCAAAGGGTTTTAGGCTCTGGAAGAGGTCCAAACTAAAATCCATGGTCATCATAAGGTATGCCAAAATAAATTATCCATCAGTTAAACAGCTCCTATACAAGCATTCAAACTAAATCTCGCATTCTTTGGTAATCTGTTGAGGCTGCAAGAAAGCCAATTGAGAGTCATCCATGATCTAATTGGATCAGGCTAAGGTAGGCCCAATTCTGATAAATGTACCACAAGAAACAATGACAGAGGCCAGAGTGCCGACATTTTTGGTGGGATTGTTTGACTTTGGTAGTTCAGATATTCCACAAGAAAAAACACTCATAATCATGGTCAGGAGGGATTACTAATAAATGGTCGCCCCTAATTTCTTTTCTCTGAACAAAAAAATATATATGAAATATACAAAAAATGTAATTCAAAAAAGGTACCCGACAATCGAAAAAAATAACATGAAGTAAGTGGTAACATAACACTCAAAAGTATTACTAAATAATATGCTCACTTTGTGAATCATCTAACTTGACATTTTGTACTTAACTAAAAATAAAAAACTTCACCATCTGTTTTTACTATACTACGATTATTGGAACTCCCACTCCTTATTGATTACACCTAAGGCACCAATTTGTCCAAGATTTAATCCCCCCCCCCCTCCCCCCTTCCTTTTGGATAAGGATGTTCTAATAACCGCCACATTCAATTACTATCACATTGGATTAAATGAGATATTTAGCATTATGATTGGCTAATAATATCACGTATTAATAAAGGCATGACATCACCATTGCGTTGAATACTTTCTCTACTTCCACAACAAATCTTGGGTCTTGTTGAAGGTCACTGCACTATATTAATTGCTGAGTACAAAATTTTTACAGTGTTCATGACCACAAGGGCACTATTTACCTTTCTAGAAACCACGACCCATTAGCTCTCGAACAAAATTGTAGGCTGGCTGCATGTCACTCTTGAGTGATACCCTTTTTCACCACAAGCATATCATATACTTTATCCACCGTGTTTGGGTCAAGGTTGAACATGCCATGCGCCTCGGATTTCTTGGTAATATTGCCCTTTAAAATCCCCGTTGACATGGCTTCCAACTGGCTCAAATAATGTGTTGGTAGGATCTTGATTTCTCCACATAGCTGTTTTTCCTGCACGTACAAACCACAACGCACTATCGAAGATTAATATGAATAAGAATCAACAAATAGTACAGAAACAGAACATCTACTAGATATGGTTTCATCTTTCTACCCCCCAACCCCAAAAATGCTATTGAACTTTAATCTGTCATAACTTAGACTAAAACTTCAAAAAAACACTTTGCTTCCAAAAGTTATTTATGGAGTTTAACCGGTCATAAAGACACTTTGCTTATTAGTGACATTGTCAACTGGGGTCTAGACCACTATAATATCCAATAATTACCCATAAAAGCATTGTATCAGAGACCCAAAGAAGGAGCAAACAACTTTTAGGTTATAGACATAGAAAGTGCAAGCAGCATTCTCACAGCTACAGAGAGTAAATTAGCCCCCACAAAACCGGTGACATCCCAATTGTTTAAGGAGTTTGAAATAGCTAGTCCTGCAGTTGTTGAAGAAGAGTCCTTGCAACCAGAATCTATATTTGTGACACCTCCCTGAGCACTGCTATCAAGTTCTCCTTTGAGATTATTTGCCCTTTGGAGGAATTTACCACTCGGATCAGGCTGGGAACTCTCCTTCACTCCACGGGCAGTTTCTTCAGCTTCCTTCATTCACTTCTGCTCAATAAATCTTTCAGCCTCAGCAGATGTACAACAGCCAGCAGCTCGAGCATCCTTCAAAATTATGGTTATTGATATGCTAGCTAAGGGACAAATAATATATATACACACAAAAGTAGAGGTACACAAGTAAAAACGTGGCATACATTTGTAAGACAATTTTTTGGATCCCACCCAATGTGAGGAACAACAGACGACAGACACCTTTGTTTGACCAAAAAAGAAAATCACGACGAGTACCTCAATAAGTCAAAACAATTATATAACTGAAAGTGCTTAGGTCAGTCCAAGGACCAAAAGTTTATTCATCCATTTGTGGACAACAAATTTTGGTCCTCTTATTCAAACTAGTGTTACCACCTACATGAAGACTACTAGGAAACCCAACCAGGTAACACTAACTTGTAGACTACTAGAAAACCCGACCAGTTCTAACTCCACATTAAGGTTGTAATTCCAGTATGACCAGAATCCGTGAAATTCAGAAATTATATTATAAGCAAGGACGGAACCAAAAAAAGAGATCACTAAAGTACGTCAGTCTGGCAAATATGACAAATAAGAAAAAAAAAACAATATTCAGAAGGCACAAATATGAGTATTTTTCTTTTCAAGAAATCGTACATTCATGGCGTTAAATTACTGAGAGAACATGGAAAACACACGGCAAGGAAACTTCTGAGTAGTAGTACAAAGACAAATATTTGGCCTAATACGGCAGGAACAGGTAACATAGTACAAATGAATAACAAGTATACGAGCAAGGCAGGGCAGACGCCAATATTAAAATTCTAGGTGGATAAACTTGCCAGACCTTCATAAATTATTAAAAAAATCATTTTTATTTCAAATGAAATTTCAGAATTGTAGTCTTATAAATATATTTTTACCATAAGTGATAGTACCATAAATTTCAAAATAAATCACGATATGCGTATGAACACCCAGTACTGCTAACATTTTTCTTTCTCTTCTGGTGAGAGGGCTTTCTCTAAAGGGTCAGGATGAAGTAAATTTCTTTCCAGTATAAAATCCTTCCGCCGTTTCCTCTCATCAAGCCTGCCGAAAATTCCCAATATGTTTGACACATAGGTAAAATGAAAGAAAATGACTGGATGTGAACAACATGACATATACTTCCAGTATTCAATATATGGTCACCAGAAGGTCCAGATAAGGCACAGTTTGTGAACCTTATCAACATACGAATGTTCAACACATACTCATTTGACAATTCTTCAATCATAAGAAATCATAAGATCCTACAAAATGGGTCAAGCCCACATAAACCTAAGACCACCACCCAAACCCACCCAACAATACAGAGAAAGAAAACAGAATATCTGAATTTCTACGAGCTCCAATAATCATACTATTGTAAGATACAAAATGCTTTTCCAATTGCAAAGACAGCTGGTGCAAGATTGACAAACTTTAGACATTGAAGCCATTAGAATGCATACACATTGACTATTATGTGCATGGACAAAAAAGACACATGACAATCTTATGCGGCAAGCCTCTATCATTGAAAAGTGACGTAAGAAGGGAATCAGAGAAACACATGAGGTAGTATGGGAACTCTAGCAAATCAGTAGTCCAGTAGCAAACCCTCTGGCCGAGAGGTGAGCACGTGGCATGGCTTGCAATCAACATCTGCATGTAGTTAACATAAAAGGTAATCAAAGGTTTTCAACTAAAAGCATATTTGTTCTGGACTGCCTTGAAATTGTAGAAATCATAAAATTTGTGTTCAAACTCTTATATTAGGGCGCTGATATCCCAGGGACTAAAATAAGAATCTCCAACCACGGCTTGGGAGTGAGTTTCCCCTTAAACACCAGTCGTCTCAGCCAGATGGCAGACCATCAGATTGTTTCATCCCACCACCTATCTACAAATTGTAAACATGGACCCTTTGATAGCCTCAGCTATATCATGATTTCTCACATATAAAAGTAACAGGAAGAAAAGGAACAACAGGAAAAGGAAACTACAACTGAATGAACTGATTACCTTTTTGATTATATTCGCAAGACTCGCAGTTTCAGTCCACGTTCAGCATCAGTGTCTGTATGTATTCTTAAATTCCATGTCCGCCAGTAACTACTCGGCATCATTATCATATTCAATTTCAAACTCCCGCCTCTTAGAATTATAGCCACTTAATTTTGTCATAGAAGGTCCCTTATCCACTGAAGTCCTAGGTTTTTTCTCTCTAACGGTTCTGTCTGCATATCTGAAAACATCATAGAGAAGACACTCATGGTCCCAACCATTAATAGTGTAAGAAGATGACATATAGCTTCTAAACAAACTCACTACCCATAAATGTCACAAGTTGGATTCAGGGGCAGGGACGGAACCAGGATTTATTATTGGGGGGGTCAAACCCTAGTCATAGAAACTCATACCAACATCGTGGATTATGTTTATGCTATTAAAATATTCAAATTCATAATTTAAAAAAATAAATCAGATAAAATAATGTATATTTCATGTAAATAAAGTTATTGATAAAAATGAAAATAAACATAGAAATATGGAATACTAATCTATTAAATTGATTTACAAAAACAACTTGATTTGATTTCCTTTGTCTGTTAGTTTGTTCTTCAATGCACGAATTGGTGTCTATTGAAGGCACGAATCGATGTGCGTTAAAGCTCCTTGTACTTGTACTATGTACACCCCTCCTCTCTAGCAATGGTTTATTTTATCGAGTTAGAGAATATTTTATAAAGCTTTGCAGTTGTGCAACATTTAAAGCGGAAAATTTTGAGTTTGAGTTAAGACGAAGCAAGAATATAATAACATAAATCATCACTTGGAGAAAAAGGACAGAGTACACAAAAGTTCCCTTCTATGCAAGCAGAGTAGGTCCTCCCATCCTTGGATCCTTTCCAGCAGCCTCGGTTATTTATTGGGAAAATTTTAACGATGCCTCTTCTAATTTATCATATTTTCACGGACACTCCTTTTAATTTTTGAATGATTAATAATACCTTTTTTAATTTAATTTAAATATCACTAACACTCCTCACTAAACTACTTTTTATAACAAAACAAATACATCTAACATACCAAAAATGCCCCTACATAACCTCAAGTAATTTTTTTACATAAAATTTTATTAAAATTCGAGTTTTTAAAATTTTTTAAAAAATCATAAATAATAATTTTAGTAAATAATTTGTTAGTAAATACTAATTTGTTATATATTAATTCGTAAATTTTAAAAAAACATCGAGCCTATTAAAATTTTTTTTTGCATATTAAAATTTGAATCGATTTGAACTTTACCCAAGCTATTAACGTCGATTAAAATTCTCTTTCGAGTCGATTAAAATTTATATTTTTTTACTTATTAAAATTCGTGTCAATTAAAATTAGATTTATTAAAATTTAAGTCAATTAAAATTCATATATTTTTATATATTAAAATTTGGGCTGATTAAAATTCAATGCGACTTAATTAAAATTTAATTTGAGTCGATTAAAAATAATTTTTAATTGACTCAAACAAAATTTTAATTAGCCCAAATTCTAATACATAAAAAAAAATATAATTTTTAATTGGCACAAATTTTAATATGTAAAAAAATAAATTTTAATTAGCTTGAATCAAATTTTAATCGGTTCGAATTTAATTACATAAAAAAAATTAGAAAACAGAGGTGATCTAATTGAAAATATACTTATCTAGAAGGGGTCTCATTGAAGATATGTTTATCTAGAGGGGGTGTGAATAAAATTTGTCCTCATATATACCATGGGCAATTTAGTAAAATTGTATTCTATTTAATATTTTTAATCTGACAGAGAGTGTTATTAAAGATTTAAAAACTAGAGGGGGTGTCCTTGAAGATACGGTAAACTAGAGGGAGTGTGGTTGAAAGTTTCCCTTATTTATTTCACATGCAAATATAAACTTCACCCATGCATAATTCACTAGCCCAATTGCCAGAATCACAAAACATGCATCATGATCTGCTACAAATCACAGGCATGCATGATGTAGTTAGAAATTTCAAAAGTCATCATCCAAATATATAATGTTTCCTTGACAGTGAGTATAGCCATCACTAACAAACTGTATGCCCTCCACGATTGGGCATTCACAGACAAGGATTAGTGGCATGAAATGAGACTAAACTCAGACAGACAAAAATAGAGCATTCCAATTACCTTGCATGTCGCAATATTGGCAGCCTTATCCTGATAGCAAACCACCTCCCCCCAAGCGAGCGCGCTTTGTTCTCTAAGCATTCATTTGTTTCTATGCATGTGATTGAAAAAAAGAAAAGAAAAGAACTTGTAAAGACCATCAGTACAATTGAAAAGGAACAAAACTAGCACTCAATTGTTTCCTTTCCCATTTTTTGGGGGTCAGGATGTACAGGAACAGAACTAGGATTTGTAGACAGAGATTAAGGGATGATCTTCAGTTAAACAAAGGGCTGGCTCTGTAGTCTCCTCGAATCCTGAGCAGATGGCCTTGAGAACTGCTCCTTTGTCCAGTTTGCTTTCAAAAAGCCAAAAATAGTTCAAGAATAGATTCAATGAAAGTTTTATTTTCACTTTGGAGTTCCTGTCCCGGGGATGAGTGGTGGGGGCGTGGGCGGGATTAGGGATTTCATATTCAGTACCTATATACTGTCTGTTGTTTACGACAATTAAGAATTGGCAAGATGGTCAAATCTCCACGAAAGCCTTTGCTGATCTACAACCAAAGTTGCAAAGAAATCCAAAATCAGTAAATCACAGAGATTCCTGAGACATCAAGGCTACAAGAAGCATAATAATTGTCTGTTTCCAAGGGTTCAAATCTGTGCTTCCTGTTCAGCCTTAAGAACAGGATTGTCTACATCTGCCTCGGGATCTCCTATACATTTATCGACCTGTTTGAGATCAATACCTGGTGAGTACATAACAACAGAGAAGGATAAGAAATAACCTAAATTCATGTTGCCAAACACAACATAAAGGTT